GCACAACTGATACAGAAATATATAAAAGGTATTTTTATTATTGATGTTTCGCTCTGTTGGTAATACCTGCACTGTCTTGGATAGCCTGAACCCTTTTTTTTGGTGCAAGAAACCCTGAACCTATTTTGAGCTACAAAGTTTGGTTTTGTTTTCCAAACTTCTGTTTGGACTTTGTACTCCCTATCTTTACTCTTTTATTTCACCACCATCTAGGCTGCTTCCACTTTACTTTCCTCGGGATAAACATGAAGAGGAGGTGGCCATCTCAAAGCTTCCTGCAGATGTGGGGATGAGAATGGAGAGACTATCATAGATGAGCGTAAAATCAGAATAAAGCCTTTGCCTCAAAAGAATGTGTCAAAACCTATGGAAGCTCCAGCTGATCTTCCTGTCAGTGATGTTGGCTTAGCTCGCAGGTCTCAATTTGACACTTGAATGATTACTGCGTATGTATTTTTTCTAAAGTATTTCACTGGTCAGTATGGTCCATATGACGTAATCTTTCATTTCTTGTTACAAGTCTGTCATGCTTTTTCTTCTCAAGAACTCTAAGTCTCTGAATAATGTTTTCTTTTTATCATAGTTTTATAACATGGGATTGTTACATCATTGTCTATTTATTTTTCCCTTTTTATTTCCGTGTATCATGGTTTCTTTAGTATGTATTATTTCCATATTTTTCTCGTTAATTTCTGAGATTGGTTGACTTATTCCTAAAGTTAACTATCTTGCATCATGTTCTTCTCTTTTTTCAAAATTACATGAATTAGCATAGATATATGAGTTTCAGTTTCTACCTGTGTTTGTGTAATGCTTGTTCAATAGAGCACTAAACTACCCATATTTTAAAATCTAGTGAATAATTTTCCTCATCTGGGTGTCTTTAATAGGACTTCAAGTTCATTCATACTTAGATTCGGAGCCTTCATGTCTTATTGATACTTAGATTCATGTCATGGTCAAAAGATCCTGTCAGAAGAGCAGTGAGAGAAAACTGCTCGAGCACAAAGAGGATGGAATTGTGCCAGAATGCTTGGATTTGGTGACCTTGGTGGGCCTCCATTGTCTGCCGCTGAAGAATATTCTCTTCATTCTAGATACCTTTCTAAAGCAAATTCTGCAAATCTCTCTGAAATTGCAGAGATGAAAATTGTGTAAGTGTTGATGTAACTCATTCTTCGTGCATACTTTCTGCTCCAGATTGGAAGCTCCAAATGTATGTTGGGATTAATGAATTATTCTTATCGGATATTTTATGATCAGTCCAGCTCAACAAAAATGATCCATGCTCTAAATTAAGAGCATTGTGACTATGAAAAAAAAACCTCACCACTGATAAAACAGTGGCATTTAGGAAGAACAAGGAGAAAAGTAGCCAACTATTTGGAAAAGCAAGATGCATGGAGTATAGCCTGCCTCAAAGATATATTGCTGTGAATAAATATACCCCTCGGAGGGGAGGAGTGGGATTTCCGAGAAATTTTAGGTGCAGTCTTTCCGGGCAACAAGAAATTAGTTGAAATTTGGGCATGTCTAAATCCTCCTGTCCTTATGGCTTTTTCATAAACTGACTTTCTGAAAACTGTTGTTTGCCTCAACCAAATCAATGCAATGGTTTCACGCACAACAGTGGACAACAAGGCATTTGTGTTTTTGCATTTAATGCTGATATATTTGTTACAGCTACCGTGGCGGGGTAGACAGTGAAGGTCGTCCTGTGATGGTTGTTGTGGGGGCACACTTTTTGCTCAGATGTCTTGATCTGGAGCGATTTGTGATGTATGTCGTGAAGGTAATCTTTTTCCCCAACGCCCAAGCAGTGAAGGTGACTTAGTTATAGCTAGCTTGACAATTTTTACTGTCATTAGTTAAACAACAACAACAAGCCTTATCCTACCAAGTGAGGTCAGCTGTCAATGGGCTAAAGTTCTTTTTTAAAATCTCATCTGCTAGACATTGAGAATACATAACTTGCAAGAACTAATTTATGTTTGTAAATCTGAGTCTTTATATTTTTTCCTTCTTGTTCCCCCAATTCCTTTTCAATTTATTTGGAATCATATCTGCCTATTTGGTGTTAACTTTCAGGAGTTTGAGCCTATAATTCAGAAGCCGTATACTATGTCTACTTCCACTCTGCAGCATCTCTACAGACGTAAGTCTCATGTGATGGGTTTCTAGAATCATATTGGTTTATTTTTTGTCCTAATACAGGATTCCAAACATGCCCAGGGCCGTCTTTTAAAACTAATTATAGAACTTTTCTTGCCAACTAGTTGTACTTCTGTCTGATTTTTTAATTTAGGGAAAAAAAAATGTGTTCATAATAACGAACTACTTGCACTGGTTGCTTCAGATTTACTCATGATGCTTGTTATTTTGGTTGGTTGACTAAATTATCTTCTTTCCACACTGCTTTTGAATAAATAGGCAGCCAGATCTGGGTTGGATGAGGAGATTACAACAAATACTGGGTCGGAAGCACCAACGCAACCTGCATGTATGAACTCATGATAATGCACTTTGTTGCATTTTTTTCGAGTACTTGTTCTGATCACTTAATCTGACATGCAGGCAATATATGTTCTCCACCCAACTTTTGGACTAAAAGCAGCAGTTTTTGCGCTTCAGTTGTTTGTGGACAGTGTGGTATGTTGGAAATTCCATTTTATAAGGGGAACTTAAACCTATTGAAGGATCACAAATATCTTTGTTATTGACAAGTGAGTTTCAGGTTTGGAAGAAAGTGGTATATGTTGATCGGCTTCTACAGCTCTTCAGATATGTACCCCGTGAGCAGTTGACCATCCCAGATTTTGTTTCAGTTGAGTTTTTCTATTTCATGAGCTGCCAGCATATTTGCTCTTGTTCTTGTCAAATGTTTCGCTATGATTTCTCAAAATTTTTAGTAGTAGCACGTAAAGGTCCTCTTTGTTGGCTTTTACGCAAGGGAGTTTCAGATTCATGGGGGATTAATTTTCTAAATTTTTTTGGGGACTTTTTTTTTTGCTATAAATTTGTGCTTGTTGATGCAGGCACGACTTAGAAGTGAATGGAGGAAAGGGTGTTATTGTGGATCCCAGAACAAGATATGTGTATCGAAGACGATGAGGAGGTCATATACAGGTCTAGCATCAGATGTTAAAAGAGGATTATTCTCTGTACTTTCTTCATTCCTGAAAGAAGGGCTTGTTTGGGTTTGAAATGTTATGCAGGTTTGTTTTTCAGTTTTGATATATGATTTTTTTAAAAGCATTGATCAGTTTTTTTCCTTTGTAATTGAAATATTATTTTATTTTGTAGTATTGTAGGTAAGTCCTGAATAATATCCGATGTATATTTTTTCCCTTTATAAATGTTGAAGCCAGACGGATGACTAGATTGGTTACATGTAAACTCAAGGTTGTAGATTCAAGTAAGGTCATGCTTCGGAGATCATTTTTCCTTCATCTTATCAGCATATATATATGTCACTGAAGTTAATGAATAAATATAATGAGAAAGTTTTGGAACAAATGTTCGTCACACTATTAAAGTTACAGCGTTTTTTTTTTCCTTGATTTGCCATTAAAATGCATCAATATAAAGTTATTATAAAACTCAAAATAAAAATGATAGTTGTACATATTTTTAATTTTTCTATTATTTCCTTTTATATTTTATAAAAATTAATAAAATATATGTAAGTTATAAACTTATAATCCATATGATGATCCAAACTCCTTGCAATACGTGAAACTAAAGAGAAATCCATCGTGTCCAAATTATCAGTCAGCGTTATTTATTCTCACCACCCAATATTTATGTGCCGGCCAATGATCTTGTCGTTTTGATCATTAGACAAGTTGAGTCCTATATCTAATCTCAACGGTAAGTTTTTTTTTTTTTTTAATATTTGGAACAAAATCTCAATGGTAGTCTAATATTATCTCTGGTCTTTAATATAGAATTCGTTTGATTTTTATTTTAATCCTAAATATAAAATCACAATTACTGTCTCTTATATATATATTTAATATATATATTCAAAAACAGTCCTTTAATAATAGTAACTCTAACCAATACACTTAATTAACGAGAATATTTTAGGAGAGATACTATTTATTTATTACAAATAACTAACTTAACTAATTTTTTTAATCTATTCAAATTAGTTAATTAACTCTTATATTAAGGACCAAAAGCGTTGATAATATATAAACTATTCATTAAATAGTCTTCATTCAGTGCTCATCACAACCATGATGAAATTTAGACCATTCAAAATTTTTAATCTACAAGTTTTTTTAATGATAAATTCATTTTTTTAAGAGGTACTTGTTGTAATTTTTATTTTAAATTCTTTATTTATTAGAATAAAAAATTATTTAAAATACATTTTAGACCATCCAAAATCAATCTGAATCATCCAAATTAAAATGATTACTCCATATTCATTTTTTGTATGAGCATGACAAGATAAGATTTCTTGAAATATAACCCCACTCTCACTCGCCCACCATTGAGGCAGATGATTAAACTACGGTTTACTTGGGTCATAGTGGTCGAATTTATCAAACAATAATGGAGCATAGTGGAAGATTTTTAACAAAAAGCACAAGATTGAATGGACGATAGATTTCTAAATGACAATGATAAATTTCCACTCTTGCTCACCATAGGAATATCCCATAAGATAGGTCCAAAGCACCGAAACTTTCTGTGTCTTCCTTCACTAGCATCATCACCTTACCCTTATAAAAGGCCATCCCGCTACGCCCCAAAAACAACAACAACCCAAGTTTCATAGTTCAGAAACTCCAACAAAACCTCCATATGGCATTTATAAAACATTAGTCACAATCTCATCCTTAATCATATTATCACTACTGGCAAGTGGTATTGATGCTGGTGGAATAGCAATCTACTGGGGCCAAAACGGCTTTGAAGGCTCATTAGCTCAAGCTTGCAACACAGGAAACTATCAGTTTGTGATCTTAGCTTTTCTTCCAACATTGGGAATGGACAGAAGCCTCAGATCAACCTTGCTGGCCACTGTGATCCCTCCATCAATGGGTATCTGGTTTGAGCTTGACATAAGTTCATGTCAAGCCAAAGGCATAAATTTGAGTTTTGATGCTGAAGTCATGCTTCATATGCACAAGGGAATGGGCATGGTTCATGCATCTATTTCTTGGTGCGTTCTTGACATTTTGCAGAAGCTACTACATGGCATGCATAGCAAGATAAATGGCATCTTTCATTGGAATCATCAGTCTTGGCGATACCACTTGTTGGTGCTAGCTGTCTTTGGTCATCTTGATTTACTGTTCTTATCTATCATGATGATTCTCTTTCACACATTGAAGATTTGAACTAACTACTCATATTGGGATAGGAAGCAATTTTAAAACTCATTGAAATTTTTAAGTTAATGGAGAAAACCTTAAATCTTATTAACCATGTCTTAAACTTTAATAACTTTTCAATTTACTCCTATTAATATATATAGTTTTCAAGAAAATAATAGTCTGCACAATAAAAAATGAATTATAAAATTATACATTTATGTGAAAAATTTAATAATATGACTTATACATAGGATAAAAAAAAATGCACACACTCTCTTAGCTTCATAAATAAGGCGAGAGGAATACCATAGATTAATTTATCTGACCCACATCACAAATCTAGTACTCATAAATGAAGCTTAAATTGCTATCCATATCTGATAATATCTACATAATAACTGTGTTTCTTCATAACCAATCCTAAACATCCAGACAAGAAAAGAAGTTGTATCACAACCAATATCAAACTCTCTGAAATCTCTATGACATAAGTGCAAAACTGTATTGTTGTTGTTCTTGCTCAGTGTGACTTGACTCCTTTGAGTGTTGTTAGATACCTAAAAGACTATAGCAAGAAGGGCAGGAAGGTGTACTTGACAGCAGCTCCACAGTGTCCATACCCTGATGCTTGGATGGGAAATGCCCTAAAGACAGGTCTTTTCGACTATGTTTGGGTCCAATTCTACAACACCAACCCACCATGCCAATATGCCTCTGGCTCTATCACCAATCTTAAAAATGCATGGAATCAATGGACCTCATCTGTTCCAGCCGACAAGATCTTCTTGGGCCTACCAGCTTCAACTAACGCAGCAGGCAGTGGCTTCATCCCTGCCTCTGATCTCACCTCCAAAGTCCTTCCTGCCATTAAAGGATCTCCAAAATATGGTGGTGTTATGCTCTGGTCTAGATACTATGATCTTCAAACTGGATATAGTTCTTCTATCAAGAAATGTCTAGAAGTTGACCAAAGCTATGTTATCATGCACTACTGAAGCATCTCTCTGGTGGTGCTGTTATGAAATTGTGGGAGCAATGATGTAATAGATCAACAACGCATATAAATAAACAAGAATCTCGTCTTTTTTATTTGAAATCTTCAAGATGCACTATTGATCTTTAACTAGCAATACAATCTGACCTTTCATATAAATTTTTGGGTTAATACAGTTTTTAGTTTTTATAGTTTATTTTTATTTTGGTTTTAGTTCATATTGTTTCAAACTATAGATTTTAATAAGTTTCTTTCTGTCAAAAACTTTAGTTCTTATATTATAATAAGAACCTAAATCATTTTGCTTCTTGAAGAAACAAAACTTGTGGATTGAAACTACAAAGACTAAAATTAAAATGAGAGCAAACTATTAAGATCTAATATTGCATTAACCCTAAGTTTTTTGTGATTCAGGATTATAAATTTTACATAGGCATCTTAATGATATGTTTACAAAATTAGCTATGTCATGGCATAAATTAATTAAAAAAATGACAAAAATACTTGTCATATTTTAAAAAGACAAATAGATCATGCTGACTATTCTTGTAATGATTCTGATTACACTTGTAATGGTTTTTACTATTTAAAATATGTCAAAACCACCTATTTGTTATTTTGAAATTTAACAGGTATTTTTCTGTTATTTTTTCTAGTTAATTTTTAGATTTATAATTTTATTTTAATAAAAATCCGGGCCAAACAATCCACATAAATTGACCTTTATCGAAACTTGCATTCAAAATGATTTTTGGATTTTACAAATGGCTCGGGATGGGGATAAGAGTTTGCATTCGTCTCAGTGGCCCGGGCTTGCTTTCCTTGCCCCAAATTGTGAGGCTCTGAATTTTCTGTTTATAATTTATATTCTTTTCGCTTAAAAACAAAGATCATTTGTCCGAGCGATTGCACTGCAAAATTGTTTTGACCCGTTTCATTTCCCGGACGAACACATTTTGCAAACTCGCATACTCTAGTTTTGCTCATAACTGTTGCATTTGTAATGCATCTTTGATTTTCGGAAGAAGGAAGCAATAAGCGCATGATGCTTTTCTTTCATTTCCAATCCTCAATTTCCATGACTACTCATTGAAGAAGCGGGGCGACTATATCATCCAGTATGTGCTAAAGAAAAGAAAATACATTATATGCTGTGTGTGATTGCAAATTCCGGTTTAGAAACTTCCTAATATCTTATCCTTACTGAAAACATCGGTATATATTTGTGGACATTACCGCAAACGAAAGATTAATTTTGGTTCTGTTTTCCCTTTCTTGCGTTGAGGAAAGATTTTTGTTGGCAGTAAAGAATGGTGCAAGGTGTGTCATTGAGCACTGTGACAAGTTGTGAACAAAGCAGGCTCTATGGATCATTCCCATCTTGGACGGCCCCTTTTGCACCATTTAAGAAATCCCAGATAAGCTTCATCAGTGAAAGATATCGCGTTTGGAATCAGTGTCAGCAGAGATTGTTCTTGAGAAAGTACCATAGAATATCGAGGTTCAGTGGTTTTAAGGTTGAAGCAGCATGGTTCTTTAGAGGGAGAGAACAAGAATCCGAAGCAAGTGCAGAGCGCAGTGAAATGGCTCATGATGATATTGCAATCTTACTTTTCCAGCTAAGCATGGCCACTAGAGTGCAGGTTTAGTTGCCTTTACTCCCTTTTAAGCAGCTTAGTAATTTAGTCCATGTTTTGAATTTTTGCTCAAAATTCCGAGCTATTTGTTCCTTATTTTGCACTTCTGAACTGCAGTATTTTTTGAACGTGGAGCAGTATGACGCGGCACAGCAACTGAGAAACAAACTTACTGAGGTTAGATAACTCAGCACTAATCATGTTATCTGTAACTCAAGCAATAATATGTACTTACTTTAAACATTGTGATATGTGAATGAGTTTGTAACTTTGTCTTATGTAATATGAAGTATGTGTATTGTCTCCATTTTATTTAAAATATGTTTGGAAGGTTGAAGCAGAGGTCCTCAAACAGCAAGAGGAAATACGGGGAGTGCCTTCAAAAAGTGAAGCTCAAGACAAAGCTCTAAGTATTATACGTCTCCGGTGAGCTTTTTTCCTCCTTAGATCCCACGGCTGACTTGTTCTCTATTGTTATTCAATTTTGTAAACCAACTTGAACAATGATCACTACTGTATCTGTTTCATTTGCAGTTCAGACCTCCAGAATGCAATTGAGAGTGAAGATTACGATTTGGCTGCTACTTTACGTGATCAAATTTCTAAACTTGAAGCAGAGTCCCTGGCTGCATCAGCTAAAGTTTTGGCATATGAAAACGCACAGTACGCTTTCCGTTTGGGCCAGAAAGTGAGACATAAAGCATACAGTATGTATTTGAATTTTGACATGACCTCCGTTGTACATGACAGGTTCCACTATATGCATGTCATGTGTACCACATTATTCTAAAAGCAAGAGGTTCTTACTTTTACTCCTCTCTTCGTTCATATTGATTATTCAATTTATTTTGCAGATTACATTGGTGTGATATGTGGAATGGATCCAGTTTGCTGTGAATCAAGTTCATGGATGGAAACTGTACAGGTTCAGAAGTTGTCTCGTGGCTCTACTCAACCATTTTATCAGGTTTTGATTGACTTCATCTCATGAACTGCATAAATAGCCATTCATTCCTGAACAGTATGTCTTATTTCATTGATAATTAAGTTGGCAGTTAAGAATGGTTCTGGTTTTTTATTGGTTCTTTCTCCTCTTTAGGTTCTAGTTGACGTACAGGTTGATCCAAATCTACTGGTGGCATATGGTAAATCTGATTACTCAATTCCTTATGCACATGACTTCATAAGTTTCTATGCTAATTAAATATATCTCCTTTTCACGTTGACAAATAAGTTCATGTGAGCTCTTGGTCTCTTGATGTTATGTGTAGACAATAAGTTGCAGAATGATCTTTTTCACTTTGTTTGCAGTTCCGGAAGAGAATCTATTGGCCGTGGATGAAACGGACATGGTGAGCTTGTGATCTATATATCTTATCAAATGGGGCAAAAGTAAAAGACAAAGAAAAATAGCTTTATTAAACTTCTCATACATATATAGCTGATAAACTTAAAAGTTCTCTTTTTGAAAGGGATGGATTGTGCTATAAACATGAGTGTTGGGATTGAGTTGGTGTATTAAACTAATTGCAGAGCAGGTTGGATCATCCATATATCATGAGTCTGTTCTACGGTATGGATTCGGCAGGAGATTACATCCCCGTTAAGCAACTGAGGGAGAAGTACAACAGACCAAGGCATGAAATACCCATTGACCCACCAAATGATGAAGATGGTGGCAGATCTTAGTTTGCCAAGTTACAACAGAGTCATTTTAATCATCTTTTGCAGAAAAACTCACTCATCATGATTTTGCTCCTTCAAGAATGACTTCTTGTTGGTCTCAAGACATTTGTGTATTTACTATTGAAGCTTTTTCAAAGCCTCCATACTCGTTTGTGTGTGTGGGGTGTATATATACAGAGAGAGAGAGGGAGGAAGGGAGAGATCTGGAATTCTGGTAAGGATTTGCTTGTTGTATACTTGAGTTTTCTTTGGGCGACTTTCATGGTACATTTATCACTCTTAAATTTTTGTATTTTAAAGAAAAAGTACTTTGATTGTGTTTGGATATAGTCATAATAAATAGGGGATTATGATACTCATTCTTATACTCTAGATATATTTTTTCTTATTCTCAAATCTATTATTTAGGGAAGAAAAAATGTTGTTTAGTGGGTTTCCAATCTTGGATGAGGAAAGATAAATGGAATTCATTCCTTTTAATGTGTCGCATTGTTATTTTGTTCAAATCAAATTACACCATTAATTTACTGCCAAAAGAAAAATTACAGTTACTTGATTATTTGAAAAACAATCCCTAAATTTTAGCACTGAGTTATATGAAAAATTTAAATTTGAAATTAGTTTAAATGATTCAGGGATAAAAAATTAACTTGAATTATTTTTCTACCCAATTTATGTTTTTTCTATCTTTCAGGATATTTTCGGTTTTCAGTAATTTTTTTTGGTTTAATGCTGATCAAACAAATTGACATTATTTGTTTTAAAAATGTTGCAATAGAATTTACACGCATTCACCTTCATCCAATATTAAGCTATGCTTCAGAGCGAACCCGCACTCATTGGCCGTGAATTCACGTTCTTCGTTTTTAATGAAACAAAACAAATTCACGCCCTGAAATGAAAAGATTCAAATCGTCGAAGAGAAATAAGTACTGATCACCAACTGGGCTAGTCTCAACGGCAAAAAGAACCAATCTTTCATGGTTGGTTAACAGAGAAGAAAATGACACAGTACATGCCATTATTCAGGTCTTGTTCTAGCTTATGGTCACTCACCCAGCTCCATGCGCACCTTGTGGTAACCGGCCTCCACAAGAACCCACTCGCCTCAACCAAGCTCATCGAGTCTTACGCTCAAATGGGTTCCATCCAATCTTCAAGACTTGTCTTCGGGACCTTCTCGTTTCCAGATTCTTTCATGTGGGGCGTGATAATGAAATGTCACTTGTGGAACAACTTCTTCGAGGACGTAGTTTCTCTTTATCATCACATGGTTATTTTGGAGACACATGTTTGCAGATTCGTATATCCCTCTGTTTTGCGGGCTGTGTCGAGAATTGGTGACTTGGGTGGGGGAAAGAAAGTTCATGGGAGGATAATTAAGTGTGGGTTGGATACTGATACTGTTATCGAGACTTCATTGCTTGGTATGTACGGTGAATTGTGCAGTTTGGGTGATGCTCGAAAGGTGTTTGATAAAATGGGTGGCAGGGATGTGGTTTCATTTAGTTCTATTGTCTCATCTTATGTGGAGAATGGAGAGGCAAGAGAAGGATTGGAGATGTTTCGTTATATGGTTTCTGAAGGGATTGAACCTGACTCGGTCTCCATGCTTAGTGTAGCAGAGGCTTGTGCCAAATTTGGTTGTCTGAGGCTTGCAAAATCTGTCCATGGACATGTAATCAGAAAAGAAATGGGAAGTGATGGGAATTTGAATAACTTTCTTCTGATCATGTACAGCCAGTGTGATTACTTACGGGGTGCGAAAACCATATTTGAGAACATCATTGATCCAAGTACTGCTTCTTGGACATCCATGATTTCATCCTATAATCAAAGTGGATGCTTTCAAGAAGCTATTAATATTTTTATCCGAATGCAGGAGTCAAAAGTGGAACCCAACGCAGTGACAATGATCAGCATTCTAAGTTCCTGTGCTAGACTGTGCTGTCTAAGAGAGGGAAAGTCAGTTCATTGCTTTCTTTTAAGAAAAGTCATGGATGCTGATATGGACCTAGGGCCTGCACTAATAGATTTCTATGCTGCTTGTCAGAAAATATGCTGTTGTGAGAAACTTCTTCGTGTAATTGGAAACAATAATATTATCACATGGAATACACTCATATCACTTTATGCTCGGGAGGGTTTATACAGGAAGGCCTTGGTACTATTTGCAGATATGTTGAGAAGAGGGATAATGCCAGACTCGTTTAGCCTAGCAAGTTCAATTTCAGCTAGCGCAAATGCAGGTTCAGTACAGCTTGGACAGCAGATGCATGGCCATGTGTTGAAAAGTGGGTTGATGAATGAGTTTGTGCATAACTCCTTGATTGATATGTATTCCAAATGTGGTTTTGTGGATTCGGCATGCATGATTTTTGACAAGATCACACAGAAAAGCGTTGTGGCATGGAACTGTATGATGTCTGGTTTTTCTCAGAATGGCATGTCAGCAGAAGCACTTAACCTATTTGATAAAATGTACTTTAATGGTCTGGAGATCAATGAAGTAACCTTCTTAAGTGCAATTCAAGCCTGCTGCAATTTGGGTTATCTAGAAAAGGGGAAATGGATTCATCACAAGATCATTACATGGGGCTTACAGAAGGATCTTTATGTAGATACAGCTCTAACTGACCTGTATGCCAAATGCGGAGACCTTAAAGCAGCCCAAGGAGTCTTCGATAGCATGTCTGAGAAAAGCGTGGTATCATGGAGTACTATGATTTCTGCTTATGGCATGCATGGTCAAATAAATGCTGCAGTCTCACTCTTCACCGAAATGACAGAGTCAGGTATAAAACCAAATGAAGTAACCTTCACGAACATCTTATCTGCCTGTAGTCATGCAGGATCAGTGGAAGAAGGGAAGTTATATTTCAACTGTATGAAACATTATGGCATTGAGCCCAACACAGAACATTTTGCCTCTATTGTTGACCTTCTGAGTCGAGCTGGCGATATTGATAGGGCATACGAAATAATAAAGTCAATGTGCCTTCCTGTAGATGCTAGCATATGGGGAGCTCTGCTTAATGGGTGTAGAATACACAGGAGGATGGACTTGGTTAGAAGCATCACAACGGAGCTTGCGGATATTGATACAGATGATACAGGATATTATACTTTATTATCTAATTTATATGCCGAAGAAGGAAACTGGGATGAGTCCAGAAAGGTGAGATCAAGGATGGAAGGGATAGGCCTGCAGAAAGTCCCTGGATATAGCACTATTGAGATTGATAAGAAAATCTATAGATTTGGGGCTGGAGATACTTCTGAATGGCAAATTAAAGAAATTTACGTGTTTTTGGAAAATTTTCAAAGTTTGGCACAGGAGCATGGATGTGAAGTAGATTGCTGTAGTCCAATGCGTAAAGCTAGTAAGTGTTTTCATGAGAATAGTATTCACAAGTTAGCAACCGCTATCTAGAACATTGCCTCATTTCTCCAATGACTTGAAGCTTGAGAAAGTTCAGACTCTCAATATACTAACGAGCAAGATGTAAAATTTACATGATAATTTGATTCATTTAACCGTCTATAAGTAGCTCATTTACAGACCTATGCTACCATAAAGACTAAAAAAATTATCTAAACACACACGTCGTAAGATGCTAGAATCTCCATCAACCCTATTAGGCCATTTGGCATGGTGTATACACTCTTAATATCTCTACCCGTTTACAACATTCTATCCCCAAAGAAATAGTTAAAATGAAGCACATATATGACTAGGCAAAAGCTGCCACTTTTTCATATGCATCATTGCTGATATCCATCCGCACTATACTGCGTCCAGGGTCTTTGTTCAATCCTCTCTGCTTCATGACCTCTCTCACCTGCTTAACGTAGCTCCACCTCCCATCTGAGGCATACAAGTTTGACATGAGTACATAGTAAGAAGATTCATCAGGATGCAACTCCAACATTCTCCTGAGGGCAACTTCTCCTAAGTCAAACCTTGAATGAAGTCCACATCCATGGAGAAAAGCTCCATAGACTCCAACATTAGGTTGGACAGGCATTTTGTTAATAAAATCCCATGCCTCTTCAAGGTTGCCAGAACGTGCTAAAAGATCAACCATACATGTGTAATGCTTCATAGAAGGAACAAAGTTCAGTTCCTTACACATCAAATTGAAAAGCCTGCGGCCCTCTCTAACCATTCCTGCGTGGCTGCATGCTGTTAATAATGTTGTGAAGACCACTTCATTGAGCTCCAAGTTCTCCTTCAACATTTCCCTAAAGAGTGCAAGAGAACCAGTGCCATCACCTTGCATGCCACAGCCACCTATCATCGCACTCCATGTGACAGAATTCTTTTCTCTCATCTCATCAAACACAACACGAGCTGATTTTGCGTCCCCACATTTTGCATAGAAGTTCAGAAGTGCCGTGCCAGCGTAGATGCTAGATGATAATATACCATATTTTAGAGACAAGGCATGAAGAGAAGAACCGAGTTCGAGAGCCCCAAGGGCAGCGCAAGATGAGAGGACACAGACCAATGTGACTGCATCCGGCGAAAATGAGGCTAACCTCATGCGTTTAAAGAGCCCAAGAGCTTCACATGCAGAACCATTCTGGGCATAACCAGAAATAATCGAGTTCCAAGATATTACATTTGTATGGCTAATAGTTTCAAATATGTCACGAGCGTCCGCAGTCATATGGCACTTGGCATACATGTACACGAGAGCGTTACTCACTGCAGGATCATCCAAACCAAGCTTAACTATTTGTACATGAAGTGACTTTCCCATAGTGGTATTACTTAGCTGTGCACATGCTGAAAGCAAACTCGCAATGGTAAGAGAATTGGGCATAAGAACTGCCCATTTTTCATTTGCGAACAATTCTATTGCCTTGTCCGGGTGACCTCGTTGAGTATACCCAGCAATCATTGCTGTCCAGGAGACAAGTTCAGCTGTTGAAAGCTCATCAAAAACAGAACGAGCATCTCTGATATCCCCACACTTGACATACATTTCCAAAAGACATGTTGCCAAGAAATGTTCCATTTCAATGCCATTTTTAATCACATAGCCATGAACCCACTTTCCTTGATGTAAGTATCCTAATTTTGTGCATGCCATGAGTAAACTTCCCACAGTAACTTGATTGCCTGCAGTAAACCCTTCTCTCATTCTATTGAACAAGACCAACCCTTCTTCCTCACAATCATTCTGCACATATGCTGCAATCATAGAAGTCCACGACACCACATTTCTGTCCATCACTTCCTCAAACACAATTCGTGCACTTTGTACCTCTCCACATTTAGAATACATATCCAGGAGACCCGTGAGCACAAAACTATCAATAGTGTTGGTTTTAACAATTTGGCAATGTACCTTCATACCCTCAACAACATCACGCAACTCACAAGCAGCTTTCAAGACAAAAGTAAAAACCACCTCGTCGTGGCCTTGGACAAACACCCTCATGCGGGTGTAGAAGGGAACAATCTCGGAATACATATCATTCAAGAAGTACCACCTGAGCATCACCTTCCACGAATAAAAATCTGGGCTTGGAATTCGATCGAACACCATGCGAGCATATTGAACGAACCCAAAGGATCCATAGAGACTAACCAGCTTGGTAATGCAGAGAAGATCATCAGTGAGGCCGTGAACAATAAGCAAGGCGTGAGCCTTCTTGAGAGAATTGATGTCTCCGCAAATGCGAAAAAGAAAGAAGGATGGGTGCGAGGAGATGGAGTGAACGGAGTCGAAACTGTTGTGAGGGAGGCCCAATGGTTCCACTTCCACGGGTGGTGGTGGATGCTGGTATTGGGGAACCGCACACTGAAGAAATCTCCATTGAAGACGAAGTTTGGGGGGAGGATGACGTAAGATTTCTTTTATGGCAAACGCGAGCTTCATTGCACATCCTGATTTTCGAATTCTACTTGTGTTCCGCGTTTGGGACCCTAGAGGCGAGAACGACCCCGGCTCGTTTATTGACTTTTCGTCAACGCCCGTCTTTTATGCGCCACGTCATCACTCGTGTTCCTTTTTTCCTTTTTCTTTTTTTTTGGCTGTTTTTGGCACTACCCCCTCCCAAGTCCCATCTAAACAGAGCCGGAAAAACGGGCCGAGCCCGTCGAGCTGGTCTGTTTAGGTTCTGAAATTATGAGAACTAGATTTAATATTTTTCTCTTTAAATGAGAAATAAGCCCTGGAGAGCTGGTCCTGGAAGACCGAGGACTTAAAAGGACCGGCCCTTTTAAGTTTTTTTTTTATTTTTTTATTTTTTTATATATTCTAATGTTATTAATTTTTTACATTGTTAATAATATTTTAAATATTTAATTATTATTATCATTTTAAAATTCAATTTAGTGTTAGACAATAATTTATCTAATTAAATTTTTAAAAATGGGTTAATTTAGACTTTAATAATGATTTGATTTATATTATATGCGTTGATATTTTTAAACTATATATATATTTGATAATAGAGTATTTTTATACTTATATAACTTGTGATTCTATAATTTAAATTAGAAATTCATGAGTTTCAACAACAATGTTTCTCACATTAAAGTAAAATAATAGCTAGATTGTACCATTTAAAAGTAAAATTCCTATAAAGAAGAAAAACTTGATATTTTTATTACAAAAGAAAAGCATACTTATGAAGAAGAGTAATTAAGTATAGTGATGATGAAGTTTCAAAAGATTAATGATAGTGTTTATTTATTGTACAATTGCACTATAGATAAAACTTTTGGATGTTGTTATCTTGTTAATGAATGTTTTAGATCTTTTTGGATGTTGATGGATATTTATATATGATGATATTTTATATTTGTAACTTAATTTTATTCATATTTATGTCTTTTTTTTAATAATTTCATTGATTTATTTTTATTTTTTTTATAAAAAATAATTTTTTTTTCTTAAACGGGCCAAAAGCCCGCGGGTCGGCCTTGAGCCCTGTAACTTAAGGGCCGGGCCTAGCAAATTGAGATATTTTTGAAATTTCAGTCTTAAAGGGCCGGCCTTTTTAAGCCCGCCAGTCTTGAAGGGCCAACCCTGATTCCCACCTCTACACCTAGTCCTCTTACAAAAGATTTTTTTCCCCAATAAAAGTCACTTGGAGAGTTTATTGATCAATTTTACCCCATAATTAATACTTAAATGTGATTTTTCTTGTATATCTCTCTCCTCTAAAATCTCACTAATAAAGAGTGAAGTTGAAAAATTCACAAAATCTCTTGAGAAATGTTTTTTTCCCCAAGTAATGGAATCATGAAACAGGAATTGTGTCATCAACACCTATGCTCCCTTTAACGTAGAAGTTAGTTGAGATTTAAATTTAATTCTAAATAAAATATTTCAATTTATTTTATCATTTAAATTTATAATTTATATTCAAATTATCATTATTAATTGTGTATTTCGAGGAGTTCTATCAATGAGATGATAATGAATAGAGTATCTGAAGAAATTCCATAAATGTTTATAATAAATAAATAATTTAACTAATTTTTTTAATTTTCTTAGTATTTATGAATGAGTTCTATATTTAAGATAAAAATAAGTATATAAGAAGAGAATAATATGATTTCTGCTATGAAAAAGTGAAGATATGAGCAAGGTGATATGGATGAAAGAGTAATTTTATTTTCTTTTTTGGTGTCAAAAAAATTTCTTTTTCTTTTGGTTGGGGCGCAATGCGGGAAATTTCTTCTCTTCCACTTAAAGATTATTATTTGCATCCTCTTCATTGTACTACAGTAATTAGCCACGAATATTTTGAAATTATAGATACTCATTTTGATTCTGAATATAGGATATAATTGATGAATGTAATTTGGTTCAAAAATATAAAAACTTGATTCACTTTATCACATTTACTCCTCTAAAAATATTGTCAATGATGATAGTTGAGTCTCTATGAGCATTGGCCTAAATTTTTTTATGCAACTGAATGGTTTCATAATGAGTAAAAAAAAGATGTGAATGCTTTCTGTCCCTAACATAATTAAGAGATTAAATTTGATTCTAAATAGAGACCTCAGTTAATTTTGTCTCACATAATTATATTATTTTTTAAATTATACTTATTAAATATACATATTAAGAGAGTTTTCATCAAAGACTAAGAATATTTTTAATAGAAATGACTTAAGATCATAATTTAAAAAAATTAACACATATTTTTTTATAAATAATTAATTTAAATATTTTTTTGATTTATTCAAATTAATTAAGTGTGACAAAAAAATTCAAACTAATTAAGTGCTTTCTTGTTTCTTATTACAAGATTCAAATTTTTAAATGACTAGACCTCTTTTTACGAGATCGATTTTGACTTTGTCTAAACATTAAATGTGTTTTTACCCAATTTATTCTTATTTAATTTTTTTCTCTCTTATTGTATTTTTATCAGGCATCCTCATCTTTTTTTCCCCTCACTTTCACCTCCTACTTCAAATAATGTTACATCTAAAAACTATATTTTTCACGTAATTATCGGTTTTAATAAATCTTAACAGTTTTTCAAACCGGCATAATTTGATTATTCAAATCTTATAGTAAGAAAATAGGTATTATGTTTTTTTTTGGTTAAAAAAATGGATCTTATGCTAAATATTAAGGAGATGGTGAGAAAAAAAAAAGAAGGCCCGAAAAGGGGAAGAGGTACACGAAGAAGGGAGAAAAGAACAAATTAGAAGAGAGGGAGAGGAGAGAGGAGAGAGGAGAGAGGAGAAGATATGTTTGGGACACAGACAAAGACTGACACTGACAGAGACAGGAGCAATCCCACATAACTCCCACTTCCTTCCTTATTCACTGCCCCAACCAACTACCGCCGACACGCCGACGTATCTTCCCTCTCAGTCTCATTCCCTCACCAACCCAATTTTCTGAATTCTATTCTCCTTTTAAATTTAACTTATTTTCGACCCATTTTATTAAAATTTTAAAAAAATTAAAACTTAATAAATTGATCTTAAAATTTAGTTAATTTCTCATTTTATCCCTATTAAATATCCATACTTTAAAAATAGTGATAAAAAATTAATAACATCTTACAATTAGAATCCAAATTTTTTCTCTTATAAATAGAATACAATAATATCGTATAATTCATGCAGTATATCCTACCTAATGAGATAATATTATTATTGGCTTCTTATAAATAAGACCAAAGTGGTGGATCATAAACCCACAAAAATAAATTACACAGCTCCTCAATTTTTTTTCAAAGAAAAACTCAGCTTAAGCACATCTATATGTTAAAACTTGATGGACTTAATTTATTAATTGACTGAATCCACCTTCAACTAGAATTTTCCTTAGGGGCAAACAACATGCCTTTGTTAGTTTTAATCCAGTCAACAACTGCTATATTTCAATCATTATGCTTATAATCCACTGAATCTATCACGTGAGATAACTTTCACACTTACAATTCGGTGTAATTAAAATATGAAGATTGCTTGTCATCTCAGCCTCAAAATTCTTAGCATGTATTGCTTACCAATATCTAGCATTTCAACAGTCAATTCTTGTGCTAATCCGGAAGAGCTAGGTCGGAATTCCTATTATAATAAATAATATAGAACCACCAAACGTTTAGATCGACTGGCTCGGGTCGTTCTAACTTAACAAGGTCAGGGATTCAATCCTGCTTGGAAACGCGGCAGCATTTGTGGTAGACAAGTTGCTGCCCTTAAGGTCCCACAAAGTGCTGCTCCGGATTAGTCTGAGCCTGTTGATGTGCCTAGAAGATGGACTTGGCTCAGGATACCGGAGAAAGAAATTCAAAAAATAATAATAATAATATGGAATGGCCACGGACAATGTTTGACATAAAATAGGCCCAGGAAAGTATTGATTAAACTACATTTCTGAACGGAAAGTGTCTTGAGGACAGTAAGAGAATTCATACACTACATAGCTTAAGCTAACCAAAGCTCTCTATTTGTGGAGGCCGAACTCAAATGCAGTACACAGCCCAGTAGTACCTACGATGGCTAAATTAATCACTGCTATCTAGAAATCCAAGTGAGAAGACATTAGCTGAAGGAGGACCTATGTCTCAGAAGTTCTTTAAAGAGATAACTTGGAAGAAATCAAACAGCATTATTCAGAAACAATACAAGTTGGTATGACTCAAGAGACTGGCAACCAGGAATAATCACCCAAATACGGGTGGGAAAAATGTACAAGAAAATTCCCCCAAGCTGAGAACATGATTTTACCAAATGTGGAAAAAGACCATGCGTACCCTCCACAAACTCTGGTCCATTAATTTGAGCCTCTTTCTAAAATTAGGTTAACAGGACCGGTGGAGGGTTACCAGCTGGGCACCTCTGCCTACGAGGCCTTCTGGTTGTCTTTCCCCAACCTGTTAGGCTTCTATCTTCCAATCCAATCACTTCAACATTATTGAGGTGCTGCATCAGTGGAGTACTAGTTTCATTGTTTGCCACAGGGGGAGGGGGGGGGAGGGGGATGGTGTCACCTGCAATCGCCGTCTTCCCCGGCCACACCCATTCCTAGAAGAACCTCTCCTAGTCAACCCTGAATGCCATGGATGACCTGTGGCTCTCATAAGCCCTCCAAATGTCTGAAGATCTTCTGTTACTTCATGCCTTGATAAAGATGCAATGCCTGGAAGGATGTCCCTCTGGAAATCCCTCTGCTGCCTCCCTCTCCTTGCAGGACCTCTCCGAGTTCGTGTAGGTAACAAAGTCAGCCCAGATTCATCCCCTTTGCAGTTTTCTGGAACAAAAGGCTTGGGCATGTAGTCTTCTTCCTTGGTCTCTGTCAAATTCAATGTCATGGACTCAAAGTAATCCATTTCTTCAGAAGCAGGCGACTCCTTAGTATGTTCTCCATATTTTTCTCTGGACGTATCCAAAACTACATTCACAAACCAATTAAGTGGGTCCACCATTGGACTTTCGGATGGACTGCCGATCATATCATCCACTTGATTGCAGGAAAGAGATGAAATGGCAACTATCGCCTCTGCAGCACACTTCAGAAGTTCATCCTCTGGCTGTCCAACTATGTCTTGAGAGCCCCTAGCTGATACAAGAGGAGTTTCCATCTGCTTCTCTTGAATGGCATTCTCCTCTACCTCAGGAACAGCAGGGGCTTCCAGATCTATTTCGGGCTTCATTTTTACTTGGGAAGTAGAAACTGGAGCTAAAGATTCTTCATCCTCACTCATGCTCAAGTTCAAATCAATATGAGTTCTAGTGTTGGCTTCTGTTGTAGAAGACTCTTTCCCACTAGAAACGTTTTCCGTAACAACCTGTTTCTCCAACTCAAGAACCCCAACATCACAAGGCAAGTTAATATCAAGCATCCCTTTTTTCTGATTATTTTCCACTGCTTCTGTATCAAATGGGTGGGGAATTGACACAGAAGGAGAGGTGAACGAAGAAGACTCATCCTTGGGAGAAATCTGGGGCATATCAAATATGGGAACACCAAGAATTTTCTTAATATGAGAGCCGTCACCTACCTCTGTGCTCCTTGGCTTGAAATCATCAGAACACGAAGCTGAAGTTAGAGTGTGCATAAAACTTCCAGTAGGCCCCTTACCAGTTTTGTCTTTGTTGAATGATGAAACAGCTTGTGAGATGCTTGGCTCCCCGGCTGTAAGACCTCTGCTAGTGTTTACCACTTCATTCTTGAAAGCCGACCTGGGTTTAAGCCAAGGTAAAACTGAAAGATTTTCCTCATGCCTTTGTTCTCTGTCATTAATTCCCAGACTTGATTGGGAAACACAGTTATTGGATGAACCACTTGAAAACAGCCCGTTTAAATTTTTATCTTTTCCAGACTCCACATTATTGCAGTTAAAAACCCTATTGTATTTTGCTGAACCTTGGTTAATAAGGTGCTCAGAAACTCCCTTATAATCGTTATTGTGGTTTACATAGTCATAACTAATTGATGAGATGTTCACAGATGGCTCCTGGGACCCTGATGAAGACCCATGATAAAATCCCTTCTGTACAGATACCTCAGATCGATAAGCTGGGTTAGACTTGGAATTAGCATTTACAGGCCAACTATCTCCAAAAATCCCATCACTTTGACCTGATAAGGAACTCTTTCTCAAGGTACCATGTGCATTTAAACACGGCGACATCTTAAATGACATCAATTTCTGGTTTAAGCTACCTGCAATTTCCCCAGAAGAGGAAGAATGAGACCAAGTCTTAGCCACGTTAGAAGGAGAAGCAGCAGAGAGACCAACTCTACGTGAAGATGCAACAGATTCAGGATGCTTGTTCAGGGACATTTCATGACTTCTTTCACTGACTTCTAAATCGTAGATTGTCTTTCTCCACGAATCAGCCTTGCTCAAGTTAGTTAGATTGTCAGATGGAGGCTCATAGGCTTTGCTGAGTCCATCTTGCCCAACTTGGGAAGGTAAACTTGATTTCTCTTGTTTGAGAGCTTGAGGAATGGGCATCCCGTTACTTTTGGCTTGCCCTGTAATCATGAATTATTACGTGACATAAATAAATTTTAGCAGATATCAATGCTTGATCATTGCAAATTACAATTTGGGAAAGCAGAGATAAAACGCCCAAAAAAATCAAGAAATTAATACCAAAAGGAAAATATCTAACTAATTTGCTCAGTTAAAGTTTATCCAAAAATTTTCCTAATTATGGTAAACTAGTAATTATGGTTTATCAACTTGGAAAAAAGGAAACGGCAGGACAAGGCATAATAACGCATCAGCATTCACCAGTAAAAACCAAAAGCAAAGCTTCACTTCTTGGCAGCTTGTTTTAACAAATCCTCACATTAAAAACGATGTCAATAAGTCTTATCCCACTAACTAAACAAGTCATCATATCAAGACATACTAAATTTAAATTATTAACAATTTAAACAAAATATAATTTTGCTACCATTTCACTAAAATAATGTCAAATGTCCAGCTTGATAATTCAAGTTGCCTAACTAAAATGCTTTTTCTTTTGGGTTGGGGACTTCAGTTCAAAACAGTGATTTTGAAGAAACTCACTAAGAGGGCTAACCTGATTCAAGCACTGATGGAATCCATCCTCTTCCGATCCCAATCTTCTCCAAATATTCATTGTTTTGAGCCCGACTATCGCTTCTGTGATATGAGTTGGTTGAAACATCCCCAGACAGATTGAAAAACCGTGACTTCTCTTTAGCAGATAGATCAGAGCATTCAGTTGTCCCTTGACAGGAATAATGATTAAGATGATCATATGCAGAAACATTTGTTTCTTCCACCTGAACAGGTTTGTTTAAGTCAGCAACCAAACCATTTTTGGTCCTTGAAGACTGATCACATTGAGAACTGTCTTCATGGCTACCAGCCTTTCCACCGTTGCCATAAAAAAGCTTCACATTATTCTCCTTTTCATGCGTACAATTTCTATCAGGAAGGTAAGTGGTTGTGCCACACATATTTTCATCACTTAGCTTTTCACTTTCCTCAGTATCAAGATACTGATCAGCTGGGAGTTGAAGATCAAACAACATTTTCCTCCTCACCTTTGAGGGTCTGGACTCTAACACGACATCTTTTGAACTACTTCCATTTGACAATGGAAACAGACGAGCTTGCTTACTATTTCCTTGAGCAGAACCCAAAGAAGAATGAACGCCCTCAATGCCCGAAATATATGGTCCAGAAGCACCAGCAGAATTTGCCATAGGAAAACCAGAATAATGCCATTTTTGACCATCTTCAGATATGATTTGAGATACCAAGCGATCTGTTGAAAATGATGCCTCAATAGGCGAGCAATACTTGCGCAACTCTTTACTCTTCATTTCATCCATCAAACTCTTTTGTACGTTGTACAAACGGTGAAGTTCATAGACCTGATTGATCACACATAGATTAAATATATCAATAGGTTCACCTATAAGGGCACATAAAGATATTAAAATCTAGATACAGTAAAACCATGTTAACTCAACCTTGCAACAACCATTAATATCACATTATGTACTTGTGAACCATTGCAGAAGATGAAATGGGCGATATTACTAGAAAAGAAGCTCTGAAGATGTTTGACTAACTGCACTTCCTACTCAAAAACTCACATCTTTATTTTCAATCGGCTAACCACAAACCTACTCCACCTGTACAACTCAAGCTACTGGCCAAGGACAACAAAGAGTGTAGAACCTTCGTACCTGTTTCTTAAATATGGCCTCATGCTCAAGTATCATTCGTTTCACATAATCTTTATCATATACTGAGCATCCCTCTGCACGTGGCTGATAATCATTATAATACTGCCCATTGGCATGTGTTTTATCTCCATAAAATAAAGGCCAGCCACAACTGCTGGATTCCTCGTTAAGGTCCCTCATTGAGTGGTACAGTGGTAGATTCTGCAATTTGGTCCCCATTTCTGATAAATAAGCAGAGTGAATGTAAGTTAGATATCTACCACGGAAGCACCCATCCACTGATAAGTGGCTAACATTTCAACTCAATGATATCCTAATTCATGCAATATCTTTATATATCTCACACTCATAAAGCGAATTTTTGGTAAACACATCACTTAATTCATAAGTAGAAGATGTTTTCAGCAGTTCAGTTATTAAATATAACAAAGCTTAGGCATGTACACAAGAACAAGGGCATAATCACATCCTTAATAATTTAACTTTGCATAGCCACTAATACTCCATAGATCTCTAAATAAATATTCAACATATTTCCTGTTCCCTGTATGATTTTAATGTTTCTCTTTTCAGTTGTCATTAGCTATAAGACTTCCACAAACACTAGACCATTTCAACATTCTTTCCCTGTCACTCCTGCATATATAAATGATGCAAATATGTGACCTTTTTAACTGAGGTCATACTCAAAGCCCATAAATACATATTAACACAGATGTAGATGTGCTCCAATAAATACATTAAGGGAACAGCACATATTTAAGGAAGGGTTTAACTAACAGATTTCCATCTTATATCTTCAACCTGACACGGGGGTGAAACAATCTTTTGTTAGATTCAGCTATGTTCTTCCAAACAAACACTATAACAAGAATTTAATGGAAATAAAAAGGCCAAAAAGATTAACTGAATTACAAAGAAAGTTAATAGTAATGCAGCAATGGAAAAGTTAAGGGTAAAATAATACATGACATGCATATTTGTAGCAGCACATAAGAAATACCACATCAGATAGAAGAAAATTTAACCAAGAGAGGACCTTAAATCAATGGCATATAATCTTGAGTGTTAAGAACTTCTTAATCTGATAGGTACCTTCTAAGCAAGAGAGAACAAGAAGTCATAGCAACTAATCTCAAAGACTAACAATACCAATCATGTTCCTTCTCATTATGTTGGGTTCAGGATTAATACAACTCCAATAACCTCCTAAAACCGCTGGAATACCCTTCAGGCTTATAATATTGTACTCAATTTACAGACAATGGCCTCAGAATAAGCCGGAGTAATCTTCCACGAAGTAGAGGACAGAATCAAGCAAGCACCGCGAAGAAATTATATTTGACAAAAAACCCAACAGAGAGTGAAAGCGTGGAGGAAAAATAGAAGATGAATAAACAACAAAATTTAATGGAACAGATCCAATGCAAGAATCATCCAAATTAACGTGATATCAGGTACAAACAATAAAATAAGGATCTAAAATCATAAAATTAAAGACTAGGAATTCAAACTGGGAATCGAGTTTCACAGGAATAAAATAAAAAATAATAAAGTAGTTCAGCCAGAAGTTCAGCGAAATAAGCTGCAGAATTGCGAGCCCAGAATTTTTATCGCAGTCCAACCAGAACTATGTATAAAATACAAGGACCAAATTTATCAAATCATCATCAAGGAAAAAAAATATAAAATAATGAAATTAGTTAAGAAGTTGATGAGAATTTACCTCAGACCGTCACCTCCTACCACCTCTCCTCAAAATTCCGTCGCGGTCTTCCCAGATTCCTCCACTGAAGGGACCTCCACATACAGCAAGAGATTCAGCCTTTTGGAATCGTGGGAGCAAAAAGGTAGCTAAAACCAATAATTATAGTACAAAAAAACAAAGTAGGTGATTTTGCAACAACATTGACGACGCCTAGATCGTCACTGGGTTGAAGAAAAAGAGGAGATTTCGATCTGCTGGGCCACTCTCTCCCTCTCCAACTCTCAGAGGTTTTCAGAGAGAGAAATTCTCAAAGAGAGAGATCCCAGATAAGAAATCTCCACACAAACAAACGACCTTCCAAGAACAGTGACATGAAATTTGTCAACATCCGGTCTCTTTTTATTCTCTGCTTTTTCTTCACTTCTTCTCTTCCTTCTCTCTCTCTCTCTCTCTCTCTCTAATTCTATCTCTTCTTTTCTTTTTATTTTTTTTAATAAGTGAATTTGTTTCCGGGTTTTTGCGGATTTCAAAACATGTGGCCTTGTCTAGATTCTCTCCATCTTCCTTGCTTTTTGGCAGGGATATCATCTTATTTTATATGTGACACAAAATCCACAAGGCTCTTGGATAATAATATATTCATATCATATTTATTACACTCCATTGTAGCCTGGCTGGCTCAGCCAAAATGAATCGCTGCACAAAGGTCAAATTTCCAGATTACTGAAATGTTATCTTCTGTATAAATATCTCCTTGCATTTTAAATAGAGAAATTAGATAAATAATGTAGGGATATTAAAAAATTAATTAAATAAGTTATTTATAAAAAATAATTTTTCATTTTTTAAAAATACTCTTTTCATTATTTGCATTTAAAACTACTCCTAAGTAAATATGAATGTAACAGTAGAGAGAGAATGAATTTTTTTTTTTAATTTTATTTGTAAGTCATATCATTAAATTGTTCATATGAATGTATGATTGTACACTTTATTTATTATTATGTTGACGTTATTCTTATGAAATATTAGGAATAAAACTAGAAAATTATTGAATTTTAACTTTGAAGACAAACTTAATTTTTAAAAAAAATTTAGTATGAGTGAAATATGTGGAAAGTAATTTATAAGAAGGAAAAAAATAGTACTCTTTTGATCTAAATGTAGAACTTAACTGGGGGAGTTAAAATTTATCCTATATATAAAACTTATTTTAGAATTTTTTTAAAAAACTAACTCCATTGATATTTCTCTAAAAAAACATATTAATTAACTAATTTGATAATATTTTTAATCTATTTAAATTAATTAATTAGATCTTATATTAAGAAACGAAAGACACGTTGACAGGAAGCACAACAACATGATAACACTTTATAATTTAGTTGTCAAGAATCCATTAAGCCTACTGAATTAAAAATTAGGGCAATTCTGTATATCCTCTTTTTCTTTTAAATTCCATATTAAGAAGTGGTTGATTGGCTTAAACAGCAAGATAGTGGGCCCCAGATGGAAAAGGTGAGACTTTTATATGGGAGTACTTTGTTTATTCGGATGCCCTGGGGAACCTTTTTTCTATGCGCAGTGTTTTTGTTTTTTTGTTTGTAAATCCACTCCAAATAAAATATTGATGTCGGAGTCCGCTACCATATGTTTATTCGGGAAATGTGCCTTTTATCATTAATTTAATATTATTGTTGTTGTCGTTTTAGTTTTCCTGTTAATTAACGGAATTGTCGAGGAGATCGTTTGTATTCTACCCGTAATGTTATTTTCAAGGAATTATTACCATACATATTTAGAATATGCTTATCGAACTTTTTTTGCCCGAAATATGCTTATCAAATTTTCACTTTTGGATTTTTAAATTTTTTTAAATTAATTTTTAACCAAATATGTAACTTAAACAATAATTTTGACGCGCATAGAACTGAATAAAGAAGCGTGATAAACATGGCATTTTAATTGGCAATGGCATTTTTTTTTTTCAATAAAGAAGCGTGATAAACATGCTTCACAATTATATTTTCATGACTTTTTGTGCCAAATTTCACGACTCCTTTTAGAAAATCATGATCATAGAAGAAAGAGATTAAATAAAAAAATTCATATTTATATATATAAATTGAATTATGTAAAACTCCTGAATAAAGTCTATAGTCGACGAAACTTTTTCAACAAACCTTTCGTTTACCCTTATTAAATAGCTCTCATACTGTTATTATTATTTATTACTACCTGTGATTTTCAACATAAGAGCTCATTTGACTTTTATTTTAGTCATAAATATGAAATCTTAATCTGTTTTTTTGTTATATTTATCTATTTTTGTTAAAATAGTCCTTGTAATGATGATAATTCTAACAAATACATCTGATTAACAAAAATATTTGAGGAAAAAATAACATCTATCTATTATAAATAATTAATTTAACTAATTTTATTAATTTACTCAAATTAGTCAATTAACTTTTACATTAAAAATCAAAATTAGTATATATATGTAAATATTTTTTGAATAAAATATTCGTAAATAATTTGAGGTTTGAGAAATTTATTTGCCTATAACTCAAAATTTGAGGGAATTATATGAATAAAATAAAATAAAAGTTAAGAGTATAAAATTAATAATTTGACGCTGGACTACATAATTTATTAATTTTGTTATCGGAAAATATATATATATATATATTTAGACCGGGGACAGGTGTGTGACATTATGGCGCATGATTGGGAATTATATTTAGTTACATTTTTGTCATTTACCAAAATGAATTTAATGAGGTAGAGAAAACAAATAAATAAATAATACACCCAACGCAACTCTTGTCTGCCCTTCAATCAATATCAATATTAATTAATACTAATAGTACTGAGTCATGGCATTATAATTATAATATTTCTAAATCAAGGCAATTTCGCAATTTATAAGTTTCCATTACTGTCTTTAATTTTTTTCAAAATCCCAGTTTGGTTGTTTTTTTTGTTAGATCTCAATTTGTAATTTCTAATAAGTAATAACTCAGGAGCATTGAGGTAAATTGACAAAATTTTTAAATCCTACTTTGAGTCACATGGCCTAATTAATAATTAATTAATTTTAGTAACCCAGATTGAAATTGGGGTACTTCAAAAAGCCTTTAATTAGATTTTCCGTTTTATTTTTCAAATTTTCCCGTTCTTATTATTTCGTACCATTTTAATAAATCATACATACAGGAGCATGCAAATTAATATTAATACTCGAGATCAACGCAATAAATCTAATATCTATTATTAATTTACTATATCTGACGAGAAAAGCTTTAACTTCATAGATGGGTTAAGTTGCAGTTTGCAAGATCTTTCGTTTTGGAATAACTTCAAATCAAATCCATAGTTTACTTCTAAACAGTCAAAGTCTCCTTTTATGTCTTTACTAGAATCTCTCCTCTGATATCTCAAGGGAGTGGTCATTAAATGTTTTAGAAGTATCCTTGAAAAAACATCGAGCACTTGAAATTTTTTTGTCTTTTATATGTCCTGAAAATTTATTTTTGTAACAAAAATACTATGATCATTACTGTTGAATTGTACTCCTCCGGTCCTTAATATAGGACCCAATTTTTGAGTTGGTTTTGGTCCTAAATATAAGACCCTTTTATCATATTTATCAATTTTCTCTAAATTACTTCTATGAATACTCCCTCAACCATAATCAAATAAAAGAGGGAGATGGGGTATTAAGAAAGATGATTATGGTGTTTTAAGAAAAATATGTCACTTTTCTTATAATTAACTAATTTACCTAACTTCCTTAATCTAATCAAATTAGTTAAATGGGTCTTATATTAAGGACTGGAGGAGTATAATTTAATTGGTGTTTTTAATGATCAAATCTAACAACAGATAACAATTTACGACAAAAATGTTATGAAATAAAACTTTCAAGATATATAAAAATCCAAAAAGACCTCTTAAGTGTTGGGTGTTCTTTTGTATATACTTTCGAGATATTTAAATACTTTATCATGATATTTTAAATTCATTTTGCAACTATTCGAGTTACCCATTAGTACTTCGGTAAAATAACATTTAGGTGCTAAAAAAATTAATTTAGTGATCGTTGAGTCCAAAAATGTTAGTACTAAAAAATTATTTGGTTGCAGAATATTGGGAGTGACTTATGAAATTTAAATGTCTAATTAAATTACAACTAACACTCTCATTCATATAATTGTCTTAATTTATGATGGCCAAAAAAATTGTCTTAATTTATAAGAAAAATTATAATAAGGTTCGGTAAGAAAAATATAATTACCAAAAAGTCATAATGCCAAATGAACTATTTTCATTTTTAATACTAAAACTTGTCATTATTTACTGTTTGGTGTCACTATAACTTTTTAATAATTATTCACAGCAATTCTGCCTACTTTATATTTTCAATATATTTTAAAAAATAAAGTTTTTTTACCAGAAAAAAATAAATTAGAACACTTGTCATTAAATTATTCCTCATACTATTATTGAGAGGAAAAGAATGGTCCGATGTACTTTGACAAAGTCCCAACTCCCCGATTGACTGAACCATTTACTACGGGTAAGCTTCCTGTAATAGCCACAGATACATTGATGTAGTTTAAAAAATATATATTAATCTTAAATAAAAATATTTTTTTTGGTTGGCTTAAATGCAAAATATTGTTTTGTTGTGATATTAGCTTTAGCTACAATATGATATGATTGTTATTAATTTTGGGAAAATTCTAGTTAAAATGACTTTTACTGAGGATCAAATGGAGCATTAAATAAGGCATTCATGAATAGGAGTAGTTCCTAAAATAAATTATTGGAAGAGATAATGTAGAAAATTAAAACATATTTTTATACAGAAATATTTAATTAATTTTTAAATTAGTTATTTATCCGTCAAGTTCAACGTTTGCTTCTGAACTTGGTGTATCTGGGACAGGCCTACAAGTAGATTGAGGACAATGTACTGATAATGCTTTGGGACGGGCAGATCCAATTATAGGGCACTCTGCCCTGATGTCTTTCTTTCAAAATAACATTTGTACGTCGTACCAAAAAATTAAATAACATTTGTACATTGTGGCTATGATTTTTTTTTCAAAAAAAAAAAAAAACCAAGGATGTGTGGGCCCTCAGTTCAAGGCACATACCGATACTATGATTGCCCATGAAAAATCTTTCATTCCCTTCACCTTTTTTGTTTCCTCCGCTTTTTCTCAAACAATTACATGGCCAACCCAGGTACCCAGCCCACCCCCACCCCACCCCACCCCATGTAATGCTTTTTAAGGTTCCAAAAAGCTACTAATTAGTCAATTAGATAATTAAATGATACGCCTCTAATCTTGTTTAT